TTTAAAATAAAATATCCTTACCTTGGCCAAATCATACGCCTCACCTCTACTAATAAAGTGAAAGAGAGTGGACCGGCAGTTATGCGAATTTGACCGATTGTTAGCGACTGACTCGCCAATCCGCCCCCACATTTTTGGTGGTGACTGTGAGATATGTAGAATGCTGTTCGCCCCCCAATTTTTTTTTTATACGCCGCGAACGATACCAAAAACCTGGATAATAGAGAAAAGAAATGTTTAGCGAACACGAAAATGAGAATGAAACAGGTGTGGAGGGAGAAGGACCTCGTATAAGCCCGGACCAGGCCAACGTTTTCCTAAGAGAAATTGCCCACGTGTTCCAAGAAACAGGGTTCGGAAATAATAGGGTCGAAGAAAGAGAAAACAACTGGGTAAGGGTGAAAAATTTTTATGGAGAAGACGAGAAGGACTCATTCGAATGGCTCGAAGCATTTGAATGGGCCGCGAATGCCAATAATTGGACGAATAGACGAAAAATTAGCATAGCATCGGGATATCTAGCGGGGATCGCTGCAGATTGGTACTACGATAGGAAAAATGTGCTTACAAATTGGGATGACCATATCAACCCCGACAAGAACTTTGTATCATCATTTCTCCAGTACTTTGTCACGCCCGAACGTAAGCACCAATGGCAGGTAGAACTGAACACGCTGACATAGAGAGACAAAGAACGAGTTGGAACGTACGCCTACAAATTCAAGAGATTGTTAAAAAAGGTTGACCCAGAGAATGCGTTACCGCAAGCATATGTGGTGCGAATGTTTATCGAAGAACTAAGAGGGAAGACAGCATCATTGTTATCTGTCGTAGATCTGCATAACTTGGAAGAAGCCATCACAGGAGCAAAAAGAATCGAGGCTGGCGACCATTATGGGAGAATGATGGATGGAAGCGACGCGAAGGGTACCCCCTTAGAAACCACGATAGGAAAACTATCGCAAACCGTTCAAGAGTTGGTTGCCAAGTTTGCCACCTTAGAATCCGCACCTAGAAAAAGAAATGGAGCAAGTAACAGAGCTTGTTTCACCTGCGGAAAAAAAGGACATTTTGCAAAAGACTGTTCCGCGATGAGAGAAAATGCGAACCTCCGAGCCAACAGAGACGATCAACCAACTAGGCAGACAGAAACTCGAAACCCTCAGGCCCACAGAAACGAGCAACCAGCAATGCAAACAGAAGTTTGATTCGGAGAATTGGTGGGCAATGGAGAGGAAGAGGAAGCATTTGTGGGAGTAAATCGATACCAACCTTACAATACTCGGAACCAAAATAACATCAGACACGAACAGGAAGCTTCGAGGAACGAAAGAAACGAAATTATACAACCTAGGATGGTGATAGAGACGACAAATACAACGCCAATGGATAAAGATTCACCACAGACGATGGGTGGAGAACCAAGCAACACACCGCGAAAAGTCCCGTGCAAAAAGAAGGGTCCATCAAGGATTGAGATGGAATCAGCATATAACATAGTTGACGACCTACTGGCGACACCTGCAAACGTTACTTTAGTGCAAATGTTGCAATATCAGGATCAGAAAAGAAACCTTGCAAAGGCTCTTAAGCGACCTACCATTTCAGAAGAAACAATGTTCACGGATGCATGCGAAAGAAGGACGACCGCCACGAAATGTCGAATCAGGATCCGTGGTCAACCTGTCACAGCCATAGTGGATACAGGAGCGGCTGTTAGCTTCATCACAAAGAGGATGATGGACAGGCTAGGACTAACGATCGAGGGAAAGTCGACATCAGCTATCGTTACGATTACGGGCACACGATCCAGTGCATTGGGAAGAATCGAAAACATCAGCATCACCATTGGAGGCCGTGAAATTCCATGTCCGTTCCTGGTACTAGAATCCACAGATGAAACCTTGTTGCTAGGTAACGATTGGTTCAAAAGGGTTAAAGCCTGCATAGATTTTCATGAAAAGAAGATGTTCATACGCTACCAAGAGAAGGCAATGGAAATACCGATCTTCAACGGAGACGAAGAAGGACTAGAAGAAGAACCAGAGTACAATGAAGACGAACTGCTGGACATGCTACTATATGAGGACGAAGAAGTAAAAAGTTCTAAAGGATATTGTGTGGAAAAGGACGAAGATGAATTACAAAGCCCCGCTGCATACCTATCACAAGTGGAAGAATTACCTACAACAACTGATGAGCCGGAAGAAATGGCGATTGAAGATAAAATCAATAACATTGAGGTTAGCAACGAAGTAAAGGACACGCAGAAGGAAGAGATAAAAAATCTGCTATTAGAAAGAAAAGATTTGTTCGCACAGACTATAGAAGAGTTAGGACAGACCGACCAGGTTTGCCACGAGATCAACACTGGGAATGCAACCCCGATAAAGCAGCCAGCATATCGCACCGCTCCTAGCATAAGGGAATAAAGATGGGTCCCTAAAGTATTTAGCATATAAAATTTACGTCCCTTTACGTCCATGTCCCCTAGAGGACATAATTC